CGCCACGGATTACGTAAATGGAGCGATTCAAAACTCAACGACTCTAAAAGAGCTGGCCAAAGATCCACGAGCCAACCAAGCCTTACAAAATTGCCACGAGCTCCTCGAGTTCGCCATCGACGACATAAAACAGTCGTTCGATAGAATCGGCACATTCCAAATGGGCGAAGTCAAAGCGTTCGTCGAGGATTTGAAAGTGTGGCTAAGTGGTGCAATGACGTACGAGGACACTTGTTTGGACGGGTTCGAGAACACCACCGGCGAGGCGGGTGAGAAGATGAAGCAGTTTTTGAAGTCGTCTCAGCAACTGACCAGTAATGGCCTAGCCATGGTCACCGAATTGTCCAAAACTTTGGGTGATCTTCAGCTTCCCACATTGGGCCGACGACTCATGGGTGAGGACGGTATCTCGGAATGGGTCAGTGACACCAATAGACGACTGTTGCAGGCTGGGCCACCCGCAGTTAAGCCCAACGTGGTGGTGGCACAGGACGGAAGTGGGAAATACAAGACCATTAACGAGGCTTTGGCTGAAATTCCCAAAAAGAGTAATGTCACCTTTGTGATCCATGTCAAGGCCGGTATTTATGAGGAACATGTTGTCATTACGAAAGCTATGACCCACGTCACCATGTATGGAGATGGCCCCACCAAAACCGTCGTCACCGGTAGCCTTAACTACGTTGACGGTATTCAAACTTTCAAGACAGCCTCATTCGGTAAGTTCTTTTTTCGTACCTTTATATCTATATGCTCAAGACCATTGGAATAAACTAATTTGGATTTGTGAAATGCAGCTGCCATTGGAGCCAACTTCTTCGCGAGAGACATGGGTTTCGAGAACTCTGCAGGACCTACTAAGCACCAGGCCGTGGCATTGCGAGTCCAATCCGACAGATCGATCTTCTACAACTGCAGAATGGACGGGTACCAAGATACGCTGTACACCCAAACCCACCGTCAATTCTACCGCGACTGCGTCATCACTGGCACCATTGACTTCGTATTCGGAAACGCTGCGGCCGTGTTCCAGAACTGCCAGCTCGTGGTTAGAAAGCCAATGGATAACCAACAGTGCATCGTGACAGCCCAAGGCAGGCTCGAGGAGCGTGAGCCAACCGCGCTTGTGTTCCAAAGCTGCCACTTCACGTCCGACCCAGCCTAYTACCCACAYAGAGCTGTGAACAAGGCYTACTTGGGGAGGCCATGGAAGGCATATTCYCGCACCATCATCATGCAGTCTAAAATCGACGACCTCATCCAACCTGAGGGATGGTTGCCATGGATGGGCACCTTTGGGCTTGACACATTGTTCTATGTTGAGTTTCAGAACACCGGTCCGGGGGCGGACAAGAGCAAGAGAGTTGAGTGGGCCGGTATCAAGGAGATCACACCACAACAAATCCTTGCTTTCACCCCCAAACCCTTCATCGACGGCGATGCTTGGATCAAGGACAAGGGAATTCCCTACTCATCTAATATGATGTTAGAACGAAGCCGCACTCCAGTACAATAACTTTTTTTCAATGATTTATTTACTTGGGTTGTGTATATTCTTTTTTGTCTTTGACTCCAATTATTCATTCAATTAATTTGATTTAATTATGTCTCGTTTCCTCTCGAACTTTAATTCTGCTCAAATTGCAAGAGTGACACAAAATACAATTAATTTTCAGCATAAGTCTGACAAAAAGTTAAAATTGTTATACTTATCCATTAAAATTCAATCATTAATCTACCGAGAAGAAAAAGATCTGAGAATAATCTGACCCACTAATACCAATACCTATTGGAGATAATTTATGTATAAATTGACTCTAATATAGTTTCGTTTGTTTGGATTCTTATATTGGGCTGGGTGAGGCTACAACAATACCGTCTCAAGTAGGCCGTAACTATTCTTCGGAGATCCAGCCTAATAAGGACCACTCTCATCCTGAAATCGAGGCCCATTTCCATCTTTCTGGCCCAATTACACGGAGCCAATCGGAGTGCGAACGGATTGGCCCACTTTCTAGAGAGGCGAGCATGTGAGGAAGGGGTCGTGGCTACTTAACTTAATTTCTCATGATTTCAATTATGTTTAGTTTTTTTTTTCTTTTTAATTAAAAGGGAAATCTAATATATAACCCCAAAAAAATAAAAAAACGCACTTTAAATTTTAAAACACGTGGAATATATAAATTCCTGCTTGCAAACAAAAAACAAAGAAATTAAACCACTCATCACTTCGAAAACCAATGATAACTTTTAATACGCATAGATTCCACCCGATTGAAGGAAAGCCCTCAAACCAATATGGATATTGACCCGACCCAACTTATTTGACGGCTAGAAGGACCCACATAGCCACGTATTCATCTCATTCAAATTGTCACGTCATTGATTTTTTCAAACTACAAGGACTAAAAGAGACGCTTTCAAAGTACAAGAACCACTATAAACCACAGAGACCTATTTTAACCTTTTTTTTAAATCAATTGGAAAAGGGCAAAAATGCAACTTAAAAATTAATTGGGATAAAAAATCCGAGATAGTAATTTTAGTAAATACAAGAGGGAAAAATCATGAAAGTAAAAAATTTGAACATAAAATAAAAGTAAAATAGTTAAATGATATATAATTGAAAATATTTGAATTTCTCGTGGTCCACACAAGAATTTTGGAAAAATAATATTTCTGAAGTTGAACTTTGATGCGAAAATTATTGAAATATTTGATTTTGGAGCTCCACTAATGTATATTTAGAGCCAAACACCATCAAATAAATTTGTGAATTAATTTTATTTGGGACGCAATTTTGTTAAATCTAATTTAAATGGCCAATGAAAGACACGTGACCTATTTTTTCTTTAATAAAAATGTGTGCATAAGACGTAGCCGTTGTGATTGTTACCCTCATAAAAATATTTTAATATATATTTGCAAATCTTTCTATAAAGAAAAAAAGTAATTATTGTGATGAAAATTTGAACATGTTATAAGCCGAGTTTTTTTTTTCTTTTTTTGTTCTGTATTGAAATTAGTTTTTCGTAACATTTTGATAGTTTATAAAAATATTTAAATGAGTTTTATTTTAGTTGGGTTTAACTAAACAGAAGGGCAAAGAAATTTCATCACCCAATTTAGTTCCTACGGCCGAAAGGAAAGAAATCGCCAAAAAATGGCAACAACCTTGAATCCTACAAACTTCAATAGAGAAAAAAAGGTTGGGCTTCCCATTTGGCAACAGAAATAACTGTCGTACAAAAAATTTTCCATTTTCACCCCTCTCTTCGTCACTATAAATTCATCTCAATTCCACACTCTCTTCAAACCAGAGCCTAAGGGGCAAACCAATCTTCTATATTATACCAACAAGCCCCAGCAGCTCTGCTGTTTCAGAAAAG